AGCATTACTACCCTTATGAACATTTATAAAAGACAGTTACTTGAGAATAATTTCTTTTAAAAGAGATTTCTTAGCCAAAAAAAATTATTAATTTTTTAATAAAATACAGTGCTATGAGTAGCCAACTCAAAAACTTTCTTATGTTAGATGCTCTGCAAAGTTGGAAATTATTTTTCTTTGGAAAAAAATGTTTAGAAAAATAAGTTAGAAAAAAAGAACGCAAAAGAACTATATACTACTCTTATTCCTTCTAGATCTGTAATATATTAAACTAATATTTAGTCTAGTCTCTATTGTTACCTACTGGCATACAGCAGGACCAAGTAAGAGATGAGAAAAGGTCACCAAAACAGCTCTTCTTTCTTTCAGAAAATCTGTGACTGCTCTTATTAATCAAGATTTCCAGGTCATATGTTTGCATTGAGAATGATGAGGAAAGCTAATTGAGCACCAAAAAAAAAAAAAAGCTTCTTTGAGTAATTAGCCAAGATTTCTGAGATTAACATATTTTTGAAGGCAAGTTTGGTTTTGCCTTCTTTCAACTTATGATAGAAAGACTAATTATCCCCAAAGAATTAAAAATAAGAAGAGTTAACAAAGTAAATCTGCTCTACTCAGCAAGAAATAATTACTAAACATTGTTTATTAAAAAGGCACAGTGCTATGCTAGACATATAGGATTCAACAGGTTTAAAACACAGTCACTGCCCTCCAAATCTCAGACTAACATAGACATAAAGAGATGGGAGTCATACTGATCAAATATTTTAAAAATACAAATTAGACACCCATGTTTATAGCAGCATTATTCACAATAGTCAAAGGCAGAAGCAACCCAGTGTCCATCAACAAATGAACAGAGAAACAAAATGGAATATTATTCAGGCTTAAAAACGAAGTAAATTCTGATACATGCTACCACATGGGTGAACCTTGAGAACATTATTCTAAGTAAAATAAGCCTGTTACAAAATGACAAATACTGTATGATTCTACTTTATGAAGTATCTAGAATAGTCAAATTCATAGAAAATAGGATCGCAGTCGCCAGGGGCTGAGGGGAGAGGGCAATGGGGAGTTGTTTGGTAGATAGAGTTTCAGTTTTACATGTACAATACTGAACTGTATACTTAAAAATAGTTAAGATGGCAAATTTTATGTTATATTTGTTTTACCACAAATTTTAAAAATACAAATTAGCATATGCTAAGGACCAAACAACTGGTACAGAAATAAAAGAACGGTAAACTCAGAAGCAGCAGCAGTTAATGAGATGCAGAACAAAGTCAGTGATAGCTCCATACGTTTTCTTGAAAGAAAAGTAAGACTCAAGTAAGTGGATGGAAGATGAGGTAAGTAATACAATCAGGAGCAATGACAAAAATATAGGAACAGACCATGGGAACACTATGTGGATCACAGTTTGGCTTACAGGCTTCAAGCGGAATAGCATGGAAGGCAATGTGGAGGGTTAGGCTATGAAATAGAGAGGAAAATGCTTAAAGAAAGGCAATTCTCCTTGGATAGCTTTCACTAAAATAAAGTAATAATTTCTACATGTTTATGGAGAGTAAACGAAATAGGAAAAGAGCTTGATAATTTCATATTCATTCATCTCTTATTTACATTCCCCAATTTCTATGATAACAAGGGTGTAAAGACACATTTTACAGGTTAGATACTATAACTTAAGGAGATACAGGCCTAGAGATAATACTTTGTACAAAGCATCAGCATGCACATTTCATTTATTCTTACTGACAATTCATTAATTTCATCATCAACATTGCCTATAAGCTAGCATTTTAAGAGTTCACTATGTAAATAATGCTAATATACAGTAAGATGCATGTCTTGAGGTACCTCAACCTACTGACAGAACTGCAGGCTATACAGACACTTTAAGAAATACATTAATTATCCCAGTTGCTATCACAAAATCTTCCTCCACCTACTCGCCTGTCCTGAAGCAGTAGAATCACTAGGCTCACCAAACCCACCTCACTCTTTATTTAACAAAATCCTTTATCCTAACCCCAAGAATGAAGACTTTTATTTTCCCCAAAAAACTTTAAAAATGTAAACCAAATGTTTCTTGGTTCTCTTCTTGGATTTTAAGCTGTGGTAAAGCTTGGCTAATCATCATCTCTTTTTAAAATATTTTCCATATGGATTATAGACAGCTAAGACAAAGGTAGGTGGGAAAAAAAGGAGAAAATTACTCTTTTCTTAAACTGAAAAGAATCTGCCTTACATCTCTTAAGGGTTCCTATCTTCTCAGGTCTTTACTGTGGAAATGATTACATTGTTATGCTAAGTAAGCTGTTCACATCACACTCACCTAAACAACTTCCAACTACCTGAATCAGAGACAGACTTCTCCAGGCAGAGAAAGACAAACTAACGAAGGAAAAAGACAGCTTTGGTTGAGCAAACATGTACCATGTCTTTAACTTCAGCCCTCAGCCATGTTTCTTATTCTCCACTTTGCAAGTCACTGAGAAAATCCAGAAAGAGTTAATTCTTCAGATCTAATTTTTCAAAGGGAGTAAGGGAAAAAAGAGTGTGTGAGTGTGAGTGTGTGCGTGTGTGTGTATGCAAGATGACTTGTCCTTTAATTCTAGTTTCGCGAAGGTTTGAGTATTTTACCCACTAATATACAGACATGTGCAGATGTGACATATAATGTTCACTCCTAGAGAACAGGAGTTAATTTGCTCATAATATACAATTCTTTAGAACTTTGCCACCTTATTATTATAATAAAAGAGACTGTTTATGCTTTCATAAAAAGTAAAGAAATACAATTTGCCTTAAACTTCCAATCTACTGAAATCGTTCCTCAAAAGCCACTTACGACCATCTATGGTTTTTTTTCTCAGCCTCCAATCTCATTGACCTCTCTAATGCCTTTGGAGAGGTGCCCATAGCTTCTTTGAAATTTTCTACTTCAGGTTTCTGTGTTGCAGCACTAGCCCAAAATCCCCTTACTTCTCAGACCTCTTTTATCTCCTCCTATTCCCCACCTTTGAACATCCAAATTAATTACTGAACCTTATTCTATCTATGTATGCTCCTCCCAGCAATCTCCTACAGCTTTAAGTGTCATTATCAACGGGAAAACTCCTAAACCAAGAATTCCAGCCCGAACCTTTCTTCTGAGTTTCAGGTCCCTTAAATATATTACACATGTCTAACATTAATTCATTAAGGCCCCATCTGTCCCAAACCAAGTCTCAAATTCTCTATTTCTGTTCATGGTAACACCATTCTTTCAGAATCAAGACGTGAAACCTCAAAAATCAATTTTAACTCCTCCTTCACTGTCACATCCACACAGTCCTGTGGATAACTCTTTCCAAAAAACCTGAGTTACTGAAAAAGAACTGAAATAGAATCTGAAAGAATACACGCCATCCCTAAACACAGTTACGTGTATCAAATGATAAAACTTTTTAAAACCATTCTGTCATCCACACAATGCAAAGAGTACAGTTGCTCTGCCTACTTTACAATAAACAAATGCAGGACAGCACACTAAAAATCCTGAACCACTATATAAATATAATCTACTATCCCAGTTCTCCCTATCCATTTCCAATGCCATCCTAATCTGTTCATTCATTCAGTTGCTAATTCACTTATTCCCTTTATTCTTTATTCATCCTACAAATATTTATTGAGAACCAACTATAAGCCAGATACTATGCTCCATATTTAAGACATAACAACAGACAAACAGACATAGTGGCTAACCCACAAAACTTGCTGTCCAACATGAAAGTTAGATAATAGGTGCATGTAGACATCGGAAGGTTTGCTGGGAAGGTGATCCAGAAAAAAAAATTAAAGCAAGAAATAATACTTTTAAAACACAGGAGTTAGTATCGTAAGGGAGTAGAAATGAACACAATGAGAAGCAATAAAGACAATTCCCAGCAAAGGAAATAACACACAGCCCTCAAAGAAGAATGAGCATCCTAACAATGCCATCACCTTTCTCTCATTTGCACTTTTGTTCCATTTATCTTTCTCCCTTCAAAATCTTTCCTCATTCTCCCATATCTGCCTATGGAAATTATATGCACCCTTCAGAGACCAGATCAACTATATAAGTGTGTATGTGTGTGTGTGTGTATATATATATATGTGTGTGTATATATATATTTCCAGCTGCCAGGTTAGTACTTGACTCAGACCAGGTATGAAAATAAGAATTTGCTAAATAAATGGATGATAAAATCATCATTCTTCCCAAATGACAAATCTATTTCATATTGCAAATATCCATTGCCTACATTATCTACCCTTGAAGTAAAGGACTAGACTAAATTCCATACATCTCCATATCCCCATAGTGCCTAATGCATAATAAGCACTTGATTAATATTTTACAATAAACAACTGTAACATTTGAGGTCTAGGCAGAGCTGCTGAAGAAAAATACTTTCATCTTATAACTTTAACAGATTTAATAGAAAACTCTGAAAGCTCAAAATACTCTTTTGACATAAATTAATATTAAACATGAGGTCTTCCAAGAAACATCTGTCAATAATGGATTTTTGTATTTAATTTTCAGAAGGCAATTTTAATTTTCAATACTTTTAAGTGATTTTATTGCAAACACACTTCGAAATTTAAATATGTTGGAGATGATAAATTATTTTGGGACTATAAAAAGGAGTCTTTAATGAACTGGAAAACCTAAAAATGTTATTGGGCACCTCACCTTCCAAAAACCAAGATAAATTGAAAAATGTAAATTGTATTTTAACTTCATTTAATGTTCCTGATATCATCTTTAGAATCAGGCCTCAACAAAATGTGTTACATAATTCACAATTTGTTATTTTAAAAACCTAAAGAGTAAATCTGGATCACTCCATTTTTCAGATCAGAGAAGGACAAGTAAAAAAAGTGAGAAACAGGGTTTCAAAGAATAGCCAAAAATGTTACACAGGAAAAAAAAAAACAAACTAATTCCTGGATACCAATACCTGTAGGAAAGGCGGCCCAAGGAATAGCAGGAGATGTTGTTTGAGTTTCACCATTTCCACCATCAAAAGTCTCCGCAGCCTATAAAACAAAGGCAAGATTATTTTAGAAGATGTGAAAAGCAGAAATGCTATTTAAGTGATCAAGCATTCCAGTTCTACAGGCATATCTTCTATAATACACCAGACACTTTCATATTCCCTCTAAATTATTGCTTTTTGGTCTTTACTGCTACCACTCCTATCATGACTCGCCACCCCCAGTACCCATGCTTTATTATCTTCAAGTAAAAATTTTCCTTCCTTATTCAAGTAACTCTACTGTTAGTCAATAAAATTTTTATTTTATATATCCTTTATCACATTTTCACTTGTAAACTTTATATTTAAGTATTTTAACTTACCACATTTAACCATCTATGTAGAAAAAATATTTGTCTTCAAAAATATATAGACACCAAATCCTTTTAATTAATTAGCACAAGACCCAATTAGAGATTAATTCAAAGAAATAAGATTCATCTGTCTTGAATAATATACTACCTAGAATTAATAGCATTCAATATTTAGAGAATTCCTAAACCACAAGTTTTCAATTAACAAGCCGTCCTATTTTGTAACAATTACTGAATATTGAGTTTGTAGGTAAGAGCACAGAGTTTTCTGTCAGTTAGATGCCCAGGTCACAGCAAATTTTCTACTAAAAATTAGAGCCAGAATTTCAGTTTGTATTCTCCATTGAGTTGCCAACGCCTTAATGAGAAGTTAAAAGGGGTAATCTGATACAGGAGCTAAGTGACACAGAATACAGTAGCTATTCTCTACAACTATGAAAAATGAACATATTTTATATAACCAAGGGTAGAGACCTTCCCTATTTATACAGCAGGATGTGGAAAGAAAAAAAAAAACCTAATAACTACAATTAAATTGTAATATTGGTTAACCTGTACCTATGCAGTATTGAAAGGAATCAATTTGATGAATGTAACAAAGTGTAATACTGTTACTCTACAGAACACTATCCACTGTGTTTTTTTCCTAAATAATACATGAAGTGTGGTTTAAATAAAGAAGACTATGCCAGACTGTAACCTTCAAATAACAACTTCCAAACAATAAACTAAGCCAGATGGTAACTGAAACATACATTTTCCTCAAAATGGAAGGCATTTTAACAAAAATAAATGTTACATTTCAGTAACATAAATAAGATTCAATCACTCAACAAAACCCAAAACATTAAGCAAAATCCAGAAAGCATACAAAGCGTGCTTTAACAAAAACCAGTTTTAGATGAAACAGAGAAAACAGGCATGTCTGTACTCCATATTGACTGATTTTAAAGATCAGCAAAAGAGAAGAAGATCCTAACAAAAACCTCACACCATTCTTTGATGAAATTCACAACACTGAATATATACTTAACATCTTATTTATCCTATTAAGGTCATTAATTACACTCCCTAGTTTTTATAATTCCCTTTTTACCAAATCCAAAGTAGGTAAAATTCTTTAAAAAAAAAAAAAAAAAAAATCACAGCATTCACTTGATGGTAGTTCCAGGACTTGAGCTCAGGCCTCCTGACTCCTAATCCAGAGATTTTCCTGCAAGACTATACTGGCTCCATAAAAATAACTGGGTTATAAAATAGTTCAATAAAATGAACACACACTGAAAAGGATTAAGGAAAAGACAGTGTTTCTTCAGCTAACTATTTCCACTTACAAAGTATCCATTCCTAACCTACTACAATAATCTAACAATACAAACATACTAATTAACTTTATAACTACCAAAAGGCTATGTACTTAATATACTAAATCAACTCATTACAGGTATAACCATGCAAATACGTGACAAGATCTTTAGTACTCATTCATCATCTCACAAGTATTTCCTAATAGACATGTATCCCAGTAAAATCATCTGATGACAATTTTTTAAATCTTTCCTTTAGTGCTTAAACTGGTAGCACTTAATTACCTCAATTTAAACCATTCCTATGGGCAAGTCCAAATGTTCTATAATAATACATCAGTTTGAATTTTTAGAGAGTTTTTTTAATTTTTCTGGATTTCATCTTTTTACTCCAGAATTACATTAAAATGATCAAGGAAAGATCATGAATGCCAATGAAATATAATACATTTTCAAAATAGTTTACTCCATTGTAATCCCACAAAGTTAAAACAAACTAATGTAAATAACAGTGCATACCTCAAAACCACCAAAATCATCATCATCCATTCTTCAAGTGGCACCTGAAAAATATAAGATATTGAAACAAGCCCCCACACACACAGTCATTTATGTCAAAATACTCTCCAACTTAAAAGTATACATATTTATTTGTAAATTAAAATTCTTTCTGTCTATGCATTTTTAACGCAAAAAAGAATTTGCAATTGGCTTTTACTTTTTGGCAAAATTAGCAATTTCTGTAACTTTTTCAGCAACCATGTATTTTGCCATTTTATGTTGAGATGCCAGGAGTGGAAAAATATTCTTTTACATTTTAATTTGCTTTTCCCAAATTGGCACTAGCGTTCAATTCAATAATGCTTCCTGCTTTTTGCATCTATTCCTCAGTTGTCTGGCAACATCAGCACAAACTCCAGCTAAGAACAGGACTGTGGTGAGTTTTTGGAAATCTGTCCCCCACCACAAAGGTTCTTCCCTCGGTTTCAGGGCCAACGCTGATTTAGATTTTCAAAATTGATCAGCATTTTTGAGCTGTGGCCACAACTTTTGGATCATTTTGATATGTGTATTTTTAGCTGAAACTGCTTTGCACTTTTGGAAAAATGTGGAGCAAGTTACTAGGCTGATCAAGATAAATCAAGTCATGTATTCATGGGAGATAAGGGATGAGAAAAATACAAAAAAAAAGAAATCCAGAATTCCTCTTTTCTTTACTCTTAAAGTATGTAAGAGAGACAAGCATTCAAATAATATTTGCCTTTTTAGGCCTAAATGTGTGTCATAAAAATGAAATGATAAAACCATTAGTATCAGGGCTTTAAAAAAAAAAAAAAGGAGCAGCAGCTTTATCAAACAAACCATACAAGAACTAAAAAACCTGAAAAGGTGAAATTAGTAACAGGAAGTACATATTAAAATGAAAAATAAGTTCTCATATAGATTGTTTCTTAATTTACAATTTGGAACCTATAACTGTGAATCTATAGCTGCAAGTAATACTCTAGTCAATAATAATTGGTTTCTTTTTCTATTATTCAAAACTGAACATATGACAAAATAATCTGTACAACAAACTCCCATGACAGGAGTCTGTCTTTGTAACAAACCTGCACATGTACCCCTTAACCTAAAAGTTAATTTAAAAAAACAATGTTTTAAATTAAAAAGAAAACTTTAAGTGAACATACCCAAATGTTTAATTATAGTTTCCCTGACTCAGTAATACAAGATGGACTTGATTACAGGAAAACAATCCTTTCCCACTTCTAAAATACAAATAGCTATATATATTAAACTATATGTTAAACAATAACCTTAAGGGCATTTTCTAAGGTCATTTGCTTTAAGTAGTCATCTATATCCGTGCTTTACCTTCTCGAAACTAGTGCTAACACCTTCAAAAACAAAATTCAAAAAACTGTCAAAGAAAAAAACAGTGAAAACATTAACTTCAAGGACTCTCTTAATAGGCAAAGCAAATTATTTTCACAGAAACTCAGTAGGTAATGACACTAAAAAATATATATTTAGACAGAAACATATTATAAATAGGAAAGGTATTAAATTAAGCAGAATATAATCATGGTATCATTACCATTACTCACAATCTTAGCAATTTGATGAAAATTTTTTATAAAATGTATTTCTCCAAAAATTAAAACTAAGCAGGTCATCCACATATAGCACTTAAAAAACATAAACCAGACTTTCAGAAACTTTTGATGATGCTTAGTTTGAAATGGAACTCACATTATTTTGTGTTGCAAGTGAACAGAAATCTGTATGTGGCTACATTTTTTATGAAGAAATTATGAAAGAAGAGTGATATGGACATTAAGAATTAACCAAGTCAAACTATAAACACCAACTTTCTCTTTCCCACATGTATGCCATGAATCTCAAGAAACAAAAAATCTTTAGCATCTACATATGCTATACTCAAACAATATGGTTTCAAAAGAATGGAATTTTTAGAGTAATGCTTCTATGTGTTTTCTTAAGTCACTTCCCAATAAATTATATGTAAGGTGATAGAAAATTTGAAAATAAAAATATCCACGTCTAACAATCATTTCAGCTTGTTTGACTGTGGTAATGAACCTAATACCGTCAGTTTCCTAAGTTCTGATTTAGCTCTGCAAAAGAACATACTAGTGACCACTGATATTTTCCAGACTCCAGCAACTTTTACGTATTCGGTGGCTCACGCCTGTAATCCCAGCACTTTGGAAGGCTGAGGTAGGCTGATCACCTGAGGCCAGCAGCAGTTCAAGACCAGCCTGGTCAACATGGTGAAACCCTGTCTCTACTAAAAATACAAAAAATTAGCCTGGCATAGTAGCACATGACTGTAATCCCAGCTACTTGGGGGACTGAGGCAGGAGAACTGCTTGAACCTGAGAGGTGGAGGTTGCAGTAAGCTGAGATCACGCCATTGCACTCCAGCCCAGGCAACAAGAGTGAAACTCCATCTTAAAAACAAACAAACAAAGAAGCAGATGATAGTCTTCCTTTTATTTTCAAAGAAATATTAATACATTTAAAAAATCAAATATGTCCCAAGTTTCTTAACGTATAATACTAGAAAAATATTTTTTAAAGCAATAATCTTTCTCCAAATAATTTAGACTTCAATTCCTGCAATAGTTTATTTCTGAGCATTTTAAATAGGAGAAAATTAACAGCATTGACTTGTAAAAATGAAATTCATAAAATACGAAAAGCAACAGTTTTTAAAAGGAAATATACAAATGTGGGCTTTATGTATTTAGCTACTCCAATACATTTAAAATATTTACTTTAAAGTTCATTCCTATCAAGTGTTTTAGAATATTCTGGCATTTAACATTATAGCCCATTAAACTACAAATATTATAAGAATGTAGCAACAGCAAATATATCTGACATCTAAGTTACAGAATCATAAGCCTGGCCAAAACAGTAACAGATTACATAATTCATTCTTTTGTGTCATGGCAGAAAGACAGGGGTATACTTCATTATGATTATGAATCTACACTGAAAGTTTTCACAATATCAAGTTCTAACAATTCTCAGACTTCTTTACATCTAAGTTAAATCTCTTTTTTTGCCTTATTGTATTAATTCCCTACTTTGCTAGTATCAATATTTAATACACTGCTGATATTCTAAAAATGTTTTACAAGAAAGACACACAAAAGGATAAAACATATACAGAATACACAATGTTATAAACTTTTATTCAGCAATTCTGTATCAGTTAAGGTCCTCAAAGAACTTATAGTCTGGTGTAGGGAGGAGGGCAGAGTGCAAGAAAAGCATGCAAATACAAATAACACGAGATGTAAAAGAGTCTTAAAGAGAGAAGAAAAAATTTCTAAAGTAGGAAGAAAGATTTTCAGAAGATGATATATCTTGTTGGAAGCATCATTAAATGCCAAAGGTAGAATAAGACATTTGAGAAAGATCTGACAGAAAATGTCAAATGGCACATTAAAACACACATTTTATTCATCTTTATGGAAAGGTATGCCTCTAAGATAACAAAGATTTCTTTTGATTGTTGGCTTCTGCATAAAAACAAGGTCAAAGAGAATGTGAAATGAGAAAACTGCAAGAAATTTCAAAGCAAATACAAGGAAAATGAGTCACTGGAAAAATGAGAATCACATTTATGAATACATAAGAGAATCTTCAAAAGGCTCAGCAGTGGGCAGTACTGAAAGTTAGGGAAAAGTGAAACTCAAAATTAGGAGTCATAGGTATACGCTAAGACCCCTCCCAGAATCTGTAGCACAACTGGGTAACCTACAATTTATGACCACACCAGAAAACTGGAGGTTCGCTCCCTGGACAGGGTAAAGCTGAGGGTCTCCAGGCAGGAAGATATCAACACAGGTGAACTAGGTGAAGTTATATCTTGGGGAGGGGAGAGAGTGGTTAAATATGTAGACCAGTAACTCCAGTCATCTTTCACTACTCAGCAACCAAAACAACAGCAGCTGGGCTGAAACCCCTTATCAGAAGAGCTGCAGATTCTTCTCTGATTAATCTAATCAACCCATGAAAAGGACCTTATCAGATGTTCCACAAAGAAACAGCTCACTCACGAAACACTACTTTGACAAACCCCACCCACAAGCACCAAATTTCCAATTAGCTTCTAATTTTAGTAACAGGCAGAACAGTATAAAGGTTAAAAGAAGGGACTATAGAGTTAAGATAGATGGATTCAAATTCCAGCTCTGCCACTTACTGTGTACACTGGGCATTTTACTTAAAACACTGTGTGCCTCAGTCTCCTCATCTATCAAAAATAATAATAGCTAACTCCTAAAGTCAGTACAAGGATTAAATATGTTAAAATATTTGAAGCACTTAGAACAGTATCTGATACATTCTAAGCATTATGTAAGTGCTTGCTACTTTATTAGTGCCTCACTCTTACATGTGAACAGACTATCAAGGATGACCAAAGAAACGAAGAAAGTATCTAATTAAAAAAAAAAAAGAAGAAGAAGAAGAAGAAAAAAATAGAGACCAAACCATAAAAGAAAAATAGGATGAAATAAACAAAGACTATCCAAGAAAGAAAAAAACAAAACCATAGTATCTTCAGAAAGTTAACAACAGAAGATAGTTCATCCATGAATTAAGAATAGGATGCCCTAATTTCAGGGGAGAAGATGATTAAGATAGGAGTAAACAACAAGACTGAGGCCTTGGAAATAAAAAAATATATAACTGCAGAAATGGAAAACTGCAGGGTAGAAAATAAAATTAAGGAAATTTTCTTTTAAAAAAGTATAAGATAAAAAAATGGAAAGTCCGAGTAAAAACAAAGTTACAAGATCCAGCCTAGGATATGTAATATCTAATTATTAGGATTCTAGGAGTACTGGAAAGACAGAAAAGAGAAAACAAAAGCAAAGAAATCATCAACAAAATAATTCAGGAAAATTTTCTAAAACAAAAGGGCATTATATCCAGTAGTGGGTATATCAAGTATCCAAGAGAAAAAAAGAACAAAAACCCACAGCAAGGCACAGCAGAGACAAAGTGAAGATCCTACAAGCTTCCAGAGGGAAAACAGGCTTCATTCAAAGGATCAACAACATAATGGTCTCACACTTCACAACAGCATCACTGGAAGGTTAAAAAACAACGAACCAATGCTTTTAAAATTCTGAAGGAAAATGATTTACAACATAGAATTCTATATTCGGCCAAACCAACATATAATTGGGGGAAGAATAAAGTCATGTTTACATCTGTAAAGTCTCAAAACAATTTTTACTGCACACTTCCTTTAAAAGCTATGGAGTAAACCAAGAGAATAAGACAAGAAAGAAAAAGACATAGGATTAGAAAAGATTCTACTAAAGTGAAAAGCAAAGGGATTTATCCCAGAATAACAGTGAATTGAGTTCCACAATACCTATGTAGCAAGAAGAGATACCTCCAGTCTAGATTGGAGCAGATCAGAAAGCTCCTGAGAGATGTATTGAAGAAATGAAATAGACTAGCTCGTATGTTTTACCACCATGAGTGTAATTTTAAACAATTAGGGGAAAATTCAGAGTTGAATTAGTGACCAGAGAACTAACCAAATGAAAACGGAGAAACTGGCCAGACGCGGTGGCTCACGCCTGTAATCCCAGCACTCTGGGAGGCCGAGGCGGGCGGATCACGAGGTCAGGAGATGGAGACCATCCTGGCTAACACAGTGAAACCCCGTCTCTACTAAAAAAATACAAAAAATTAGCCGGGCGAGGTGGCAGGCACCTGTAGTCCCAGCTAATCGGGAGGCTGAGGCAGGAGAATGGCGTGAACCCGGGAGGCGGAGCTTGCAGTGAGCTGAGATCCCGCCACTGCACTCCAGCCTGGCCGACAGAGCCAGACTCCGTCTCAAAAAAAAAAAAAAGAAAAGAAAACGGAGAAACCAGTATGTAGGAGATGAGGAAGGTGGAAAAGCATGGAGGACATAGAAGACAGCAGTATTTCATAGCAAGCCTTATTACAATTTTAAACTATGAGCACAAAGAAGCAACATGGCATGATGAGCCAACTACCTATTAGTTCTATCAAAATATTCTGAGAAAAACTCAAGAAAGTTTTTCTTTACAAAACTAACCATAAAACACATAAATGCTTTACATTTGCATTTACTCAACAAATAAATTAGGATTTTTCATAATAGTCTCCATTATAACATCTTCCCATATTACAAATATTCATACAAAATGTAATATTGTATCTCTAGACACCAAAGTTGCTCAAAACCTAACCAACCTGCATCTCTCCCCGTCTAAAAAAAAGCCTAATAGAGAAAAAGACATTTGATAACTGACTTCAAAAAATAAAATCTCAAGAGACCACCCAAATTATCTGATCATCCCCAAATGTCCTATTAGTTAACACTATTCACTTAGCATTTAACTAAATCTCCATCTGATCTGGAAAACTACTTGCTAACATCCTCACAGTCACAATACTTTTCCATTTGATCCTGTTTAATGCCATGTTTCCTAGAAGCGATTTTATTTTCTGACTTTTCTGGGCAAACAGAAATTAAAGAAAACAGAACAAAGGAAATACACACACACTCACTCTCAAACCTCAAAGTTAAGAATAGAAAGCAATTAAGACTGAGATAATTAGAAGAGTCAAAATATGTAAGATCAGAATTTCAGGCTTATTGGGTCAAGAAAATGTAACTGTCTACCTAAGTATATAAGAAATCTGGAGGTATTGCGGAGATCCTTTATTCATCTTTTTTTTTTACCCTCCAGCAATTGAACTGAGCAGTTCCTAGCACATAGTAAGGGCTCAAAGATTATTTTTGAATTAATACCTTCAGAATAAATGACTGAATGAAAGCAAATTAGTTGCTAACACTTCCCACATGGCTTCCTTTTCCTCTTACGTTTCCAAGAAAATTACATTGGATCTTGGGCACTAGAGGACCCAGTTGCTAGCATTAAAATAGCTCTACCCATATTAAGACCTGAGCCTAAGGACCAATATCTTAAAAGATATTACACTGCTACTTTATATTCTCATCAAGTATCCCATTATTATTGGGGTTAATAATTTTGAAACTGCCTTTGAAGATGAATTAAAGAAGTATTGCCATACCATAAATTCTACTACCAGTGAACCTTTGCCAGTGGCAGATTATCACAAGTCCAAAGAAAACAAACTGAGGTGTAAATTTATTACCTAAAAAACATTATATTCATAAATAATCCAATAGGAAAACATCCCAACTATTACT